CTCCATTCTCTTGATGTGGGCACTGAGGGCAATAAATTTGCCCCTCAGGACTGCTTTTGCTGTGTCCCACAAGTTTCTTTGTGAGGTGTTTTCATTTTCATTGAGTTCTAGGAAATGCTTTATTTCTTCTCTGATCTCTTCTGTTACCCAGGCCTTGTTAAGGAGTGTGCTGTTCAATTTCCATGTATTAGAGAAATTTCTGCGGTATGCTTTGTTATTGAGAGCTAGCTTGATTCCACTGTGGTCAGATAGGATACAGGGGATTATGTCGATCCCTTTGTATTTGCTTAAGTTCCTTGAATGAACTATGATATGGTCTATTTTGGAGAAAGTTCCATGAGCTGCTGAGAAGAATGTGTACTGTGTTGTTTTAGGGTGAAATACTCGGTAGATGTCAGTTAATTCCGCTTGAAGTATGGCCTCACTTAATTCGGTAGCTTCTTTGCCAATCCTCTGGTTGGTAGACCTGTCCTTTGGTGAGAGTGGCGTGTTAAAGTCTCCTAGTATTATCGTATTGGGATCTATTTTATTCTGTAAGTTTGAGAGCATTTGTTTAACATATCTGGGTGCACCGATATTTGGGGCATATAAGTTGATGATGGTTATATCCTCCTCTTGGATTGTTCCCTTTATTAATATGTAATGTCCGTCCTTGTCTTTCTGTACTGATTTTAATGAAAAGTTTATTTTGTCAGATATCAGGATAGCTACACCTGCTTTCTTATTGGGGGAATTTGATTGGTAGATCCTTTTCCACCCCTTCACTCTGAGTTTGTTTGTATGTTTGGCTGAGAGGTGGGTCTCCTGAAGGCAACAGATGGATGGGTCTTGTTTTCTGATCCAGTCCTCAGTTCGTTTTCTTTTAATTGGCGAATTCAGCCCATTTATATTAAGAGAAAGTATAGAGAGATGCATTGTTGTCCCTGCCATTCCGTTTTCCTAAGTTTTTCTTCTTTCCTTTCCTCCTGTGCTTGCTCAGTTAGACTTTGAGTAATGCCTGTTTGGGGCAGGTCCCAGTTCCTGGTTGCTTTCTTCAGGTTGTGTCCCCCCTCTTAGAATTCTTTGTAATGCTGGCTTAATGTTTATGTATTCATTTAGTTTTTCTTTGCTATTAAAAGTTTTCAGTTCTCCATCGAATGTGAATGCTAGCTTTGCCGGGTATATCAGTCTGGGTTGGCAGTTATTGGCTCTCAGGGCTCGTATGGTGCTTTCCCAGGCTTTTCTTGCATTCATTGTTTGTGTGGAGAGATCTGCAGTGATTCTAATTTTTTTCCCGTTGTAGTATAGCTCCTTCTTCATTTTTGCTGCATGCAGGATTGTTTCCTTATTATTCAGATCCATCATTGTTACTATTATGTGCCTAGAAGTGTTTCTCCTGGGATCTTGCTTGTTGGGTGTTCGATAAGCTTTTGTGATGTAGTTAAGATGGTCGTTTTTGAGGTGGGGAAAATTTTCATTGACTATCTTGTTAAATAGGTGTTGCATTCCCTTGCTCTGGAATTCCTCACCTTCGTCCACTCCGATTATGCGAAGGTTAAATTTTTTAGCATTATCTGCTTGCTCTTGAATTTCCCTTTGGTTTAATTTGAGTGATTTTTCCATATCTGTCACTTTTTGGTCCAGTTGGTGTATTCTGTCTTCTGTATCTGACACTCTACCTTCCATTTCATTCACTCTGTTGACCGTGGCTTCTATTGTGGTTTGCATGATGGAAATGGATCCCTTTATGGATTCAATGTTGGTTCTCAGAGTACTGATCTCACCTCTCAATGAGGTGATATCAGTATGCATTACCTCTAATTTGGCGTTTATCTCACTTCTTACTGAGGTTTGTGCAGCTTCTATTTTTGCATCCAATTTTTGTTTGATATCCTGTATATCTTTTGATAGTTCATCCTTGTGCTCTTTCAATTTCTGATCCATTTCTCGCTTTATTTCTTGAGTCATTGCCTCCAGCAACCCTTGGATGTAGTTTTTGTCTTCCATTCCTGCTTTGCTCCCACTGGGGCTCTCCCCTGCGTGGCTGCTGGCTTTTGAGGTGAGCTTGCTGTCCTGGGTAGTGGTAAACCTTGTGATTTTTCTCTGTGATTTTCGCATGGGGGTTCAGGAGACTGCTCTTCAATCTTGTTTTGGTGTGTCTGTCTTTGCTTGGTTGCTGATTCTCTATTGGTAGAGAGAGTCTGTGTCTGATCTGGATTCTGTTGGGAGCCTATTTCCAGCTGCTATTCACTTAGGATTCTCAGCTCTCTGCTGTAGCAATTCCCGCCTTTGGAAGGGTTGAGCAGCCTAGACTGCTTGTGTTTGCTCCTGCGGGTGCTCTTGGGAAGATCAGATGCTCTGGATGCACTCTCCCAAATACTGGAGTCTGCTATGGGCTCCTGATGTGTTTTTGTTTGTTTTGGGCTGGTTGTGGGCTTGAACTCTAGGTTTGGGTGCTGTCCCTCAGCTCTTCAGCTCAGGGCTGGCACCCTACCATTTGAGCCACAGCCCCACTTCTGACCCTTTTTGCTTTGTTCAGGCGCCGGTCCCCTGGCCTGGTTCCGGCCCCAGCCTGGAGCGCGCTCGTTAGGCCTGTGCTAATGTGTATACCACCTTGGTTATGCAGCCTGGAGGACACAGTTCAAATTTCTTCTACTGTTGGTAGTCTTGACCCAGGGGCACTGTTCCTGGCTTGAGCATTTAAGCTCCCTTCCCAGGGCGCTCTTGCTCTGGCCTGGCCAGCAGAGTGTGCTCCACCGGCTGGTGGGGCTCTCGAACAGTTCCCAGTTTTAGTGGGTCCTGTGGTCCGGGTGTTGGGGTAGGGAGTCTAGGTCAGGGTCTGGGGATTCCCTCCAGCTCTGGTCTCCCTTGATGGATTCCCTGTCCCCTGATGGGTACTCACCCTGTAGGTCGTCAGTTGTTGTTGCAGTCCGTCAGTTGTTGTTGCAGTCCGAGTTCAGTTGGGGTGGTTGCGGGCTGGGTTGGGCGGCCCCCCGCCGGGTCGTTGCGATCGCGACAGGTCCCTTTGTGGCGCTGCTGGTGCCGGGCGGCTTTGGCGGGATGGAGCCTCTCCGCTCCGGTGGAGAGTGATGGGTGGGGTGGGATCCTCCTGGAGACTCCCGGCTGGTAGGTTTCTCTGTTCCTGGCGATCCGCTGTTCTGCAATCCGGTACCTGGTGATCTGCAAGCAGCCCCCTGTGTCTCTGTGGCTCCGGCAGCCCCCGCCGGGCCGGCTGGCCGGCGGCTTGGCGCACTGCCGCGCGGCCAGTAAAGGTTGGGGGAGGGGTCTTCGCTCTTCTCTGTTCTGAAATTCTTCTTTTCCTCTCTTTCTTTTTTTGTTATTTTCCACCTCTGGTTTTTCTCTGAGTGTTCGTCTTTTTGTTGTTGTCGGTCTCTTGGGGAGATTAAAGGTTGGAACTCGAACTCTCTTTTTGGTTGGAGAGAGCTGTGGCGTTTCCCTACTGCCCCGTCGCCATCTTGAGAACTCTCTTGCCTGGCTTCCTTATGTTTTTAAATCTTAGTAATTTGATAGAAAAATATGGTATCATTTAAATTTCAAAATTGATTTGCCTTGTGAAGGTTAAAATGTGTTTGTGACTTGAACTAAGTATCACTATTCCACAATACTGTGAAATTCATATATTCACTTCTCAATAAAAAAATTATTTAAAAAATTTTCAAAATTTAAGTAAACTATTTTCCCAAGTTTGACAAGAAAATTTTCATGACTTGTCATGTTTTGTTTTGTCAGTTATGGGGCTCAATTGAACTCTGGGCCTGGGTGCTGACCCTGCACTCTTTATTCAGCTCAAGGTGAGTACCACTTTAGCCACCAAGCCACTTCTGGTTTTCTGGTGTCTAACTGGAGATAAGAGGCTTATGGACTTTACTGCCTGGGCTGACTTTGAACTGTCATCTTCAGATCTCAGCCTCCTGAGTAGCTAGGATTACAGACGTGAGCCACCAGTACCTGGCTACTTGATTCTTCTTTTTGCCTGTTTGTTTCTTTTTGTTTGTTTCTTCTTGTGCCAGGCTTTGTGGGCATAGCTCACAAGCCCTTAAACAGACCTCACTTTCCAAATGGTGACATTTCTATAGAGCCTAATGGATTTAGAAGGATAATCCCAGAGCAGCAGCTAAGCTGAAGAACATGCTTCCCTGTTAGGAAGCTTGCTTTATTTTTTTGCCGGTTGTGGGGTTTGAACTCTGGGCCTGGGTGCTGTCCCTGAGCTCTTCACCTCAAGGCTAGTGCTGTATCACTTGAGCCACAGCGCCACTGCAGTTTTCTGGTTATTTATTGGAGATAGAGTCTCACGGACTTTCCTGCCTGAGGTTGGTTTTGAACCTCAGATCTCAGCCTCCTTAGTAGCTAGGATTACAGGCATTGAGCCTGGTATAGGAAGCTTTGTTAATCCTGACTCATCTCTGAAGAGGATGTGGTTGAAGTTTCTGGTGGTCACATGTTCATATTATGGCCTTCGTGTGTGGGCCTGGAAGTTACAGAAGCTAACAACTCTGACTTCAGGTATTGGCATTTTATTCAATCAGCAACTACATTGACCTGTGTGAAGTCTCACATGTTAGTTTAGTCAGATATATTTCAAAGCACTGTAGTTTCCTATTTATTTATTAATAGTATCCTACTGCTATAGTTTGGCTTTGGGGTTGAAGTTTTTTCTTTTGCTTAAACTCAGGGCCTGGGCAATGTTCCTGAGCTCTCTCACTCAAGGCCATCACTTAAGCCACAGCTCCACTTCTGGCTTTTTGGTGGGCATTGGAGATAATAAGTCTCATGGACTTTGCTGCCTGCGCTGTAGGTCTCAGTCTCCTGAGTAGCTAGGATTACAGGCACAAGCCACCAATACCAGCTTGGGCTAAATTCTTTGAGCCAAGGAAACTTGTGTATCAGTTAACAAAAAGACTGAAGTTATGACATAGAAGATGAAAATACTTAATGCTGTGCATGTGCTAAAGGCTTAATATTTAAAACAGGAAGTAAAATAAAAAAAAGAAAGGATATAATTATTTTCCAAAAGCACTGGTTTTATTTATACAGAGTCCTAACCACATTAAGTGGCAGGAGTGGGAGAGGATCCTTTTTCAATCCAGGGGCCTCTATAATGGTGGTCTGCTGTTACCAAACACATAGGCAATTGGCATATGGATGTGGTAAACTAATGACAAGTTTAGTCTCTCTCTGCTAGAGCAACAAGATGAGCATCAATTTCTGCTTCTGTAAGAATCCTAGAAGGCAAAAAACAGTTGGAAACTTTACAATTCTTTTATTATGGAAAATTTAAAGTAATATAAATTAAGACATCAATACACACAACACACATATATACACAATAGGGAGTAATAGAAAGAGAAATATTTTCTGCTTTCCATGGAGGAAATGGAACAACTTACTATTTTTTTTTCATGTTTATACCACTTGCTTTCAGGTGATTGAACAAAGTAGGAAAAAAATACTACTGAAAAGCTCTATCTGGTATTAAGCTCAGTGAATAACTGCCCACATGATCATGACCATGGATCCCTCACAGTAGTGACCTGAGAGACGTATGGAATAGTTAAAATGCCTCCCAGCAGTTCCTAGCACCTGTAGACTTCAGTGTTGTTGTTTTTTTTACTAACCATAATAGCAACCTGAGAAATGGTATGCAAACCACCACATAGGTTACCAGGGAGGAGCTGATGTTAGCAACCAGCATGCATTTGAGTCACCCAAGCTGGTGTGCATAGTGGGTTAGTCACTTGGTAAGAACTTGCAGGCAATTCAGCAACTGCAACTCATTAGCTGAATTCACAATGTGCAGTTTCCAAAGACTTCTGATGAACAGTATTTAATATTGATTTTCAAAGCTCTGCTTAACCAAGAATAAAGCTCTCAATAAAAATCTCTTTGGAATCCAATTTCTGTTGTTGAACCCAGGGCCCTGTACATGCTAGTCAAGTGCTCTATCACTGAGATAAAAACCTAGCTTTATTTACTTTTTATTTAAAAAAGATTAGCATACATTGTAGTATGAGGTTTCAGTATTTTATTTCCTATGTAAAGGTTATTTTGAGCCAGGCGCCAGTGGCTCACGCCTGTAATCCTAGCTACTCAGGAGGCTGAGATTTGAGGATCACCGTTCAAAGCCAGCATGGGCAGGAAAGTCTGTCAGACTCTTATCTCCTATAAACCACTAGAAAACCAGAAGTGGTGCTGTGGCTCAAGCGGTAGAGCACTCACCTTGAGCTGAAGAGCACAAGGACAGCGCCCAAGTCCAAAGTTCAAGCCCCAAGACCAACAAAAAAACTTATTTTGGCCGGGCGCCGGTGGCTCAAGCCTGTACTCCTAGCTACTCAGGAGGCTGAGATCTGAGGATCGCGGTTCAAAGCCAGCCTGGGCAGGAAAGTCCATGAGACTCTTATCTCCAAAAAATCACTAGGAAACCTTTTGGAAGTGGCTCTGTGGCTCAAGCCATAGAGCACTCGCCTTGAGCTGAAGAGCTCAGGGACACTGCCCAAGCCCAGAGTTTAAGCTCCACGACCGACCAAAACAAACAAACAAACAAACAAAAAAAGTTATTTTGTATCACCCCACTGGTGATAGATATAAAATCACTGAAAAAAAAGAGGAAAAGTTAGCTGTCTTAGAGACTCCAATAAAGTTTTGGGCTGGGATGGAACCTAGAGTACTAAAGTACACTTGAGCTATATTCCAGCCCTTTAATATGTTTTTTGTTTTTGCTGCTACCTTCACCTTTCTAGTCTGAAGTTTGTAACTCACCTGAATTTAGGATTTTCAACTGTAACCACTCCAACCTCTATCTCTGAAGGTTTGAAGTCAATTGATAGGACAGTAGACAAACATGTAATTGCAGTCTGAAAAAAAAGTATCAACATTAAAATACATTTTTTAGAGATTCTATGGTTTTCTCAAGTTTATTAAAATAGAACATGTTCACCACAAGCTATATTTCTGCCCTATATTTCAACGATGTAGTTCTAGAGCCACATATTAGTAACAAATTGCTTAACTCTAATGTGTCACCAACTGACAGTAAATTTGTTTTTATTAATCTAAGCCATAAATTAAAAGAGTATGCTGGGCACCAGTGGCATATGTCTATAATCCTAGCTACTCAGGAAGCTGAGATCTGAGGATCACAATTCAAACCCAACCTGAGCAGACTCCATAAAACTCTTATCTCTAATTAAACAAAAATGGGAAGTGAGCTTGATAGGAAATATACTCCTTACCTTACTCATGTAACTGTAACCCCGCTCTACAGTATCTTTTTTTTTTTTTTTTGGGTCCGGTCGTGGGGCCTGAACTAGGCCTGGGCGCTGTCCCTCAGCTCTTCAGCTCAAGGCTAGCGCTCTACCACTTGAGCCACAGCGCCACTTCCAGCTTTTTTTTTTTCTTTTTGCTTATGTGGTGCTGAGGAATCGAACCCAGGGCCTCAGGCATGCAAGGCAAGCGCTCTACCACTGAGCCACCTTCCCAGTCCAACCCGCTCTACAATATCTTTACAATAAAAAATATATATTTAAAAAAATTATATTAAAAAAAAAACGGAGGTGAAGCTGTGGGTCAAAATGATTGTTGAGCAAAAAAGAGCTCAGGGGCAGTACCCAGATCCTGAATTCAAGCCCCAGTTATTGGCAACCCCCCCTCCCAAAAAAAAAGCTTATACCTGATGTGATTCATTCATGTAATTATTAAATTAATACATCTTTCAATTAAACAAACTTTCTTTTTTGGCCAGTCATGGAGTTTGAACTCATGACCTAGCCACTATCCCTGCGCTTCTTTTGCTCAAGGCTAGCACTCTACCATGTGAACCACAGTGCCACTTTTGGCCTTTTCTGTTTATGTGGTACTGAGAAATTGAACACAGGGCTTCATGCACGCTAGGCAAGCACTCTACTACTAAGCCACATTCCCAGGCCCCACAGCCTGTCTTTTATAGAACTAGCTTTACATCTCCTCTTAATATAAGATAAACTGCCAATCAAATATAAAAATATTAAGTAGCAATTTTTTTGCTGCTTATATACCAATTTTTTTTACTACATATGTATATATATATACCAGACTAGTCTCCAATTTATAATCCTCCTGTCTCAGTTTCCCAGTACTGGAATTACATGTGTGTGTTTTAGAAAGGTTTTAATCCCAGATTCTTTTTTTTTTTTGGGGTCTGGTTGTGGGGCCTGAACTCTGGGCTTGAGCACTGTCCCTCAGCTCTTCAGCTCAAGGCTAGCGCTCTACCACTTGAGCCACAGCGCCACTTCCAGCTTTTTTCTTTTTGCTTATGTGGTGCTGAGGAATCGAATCCAGGGCCTCAGGCATGCAAGGCAATCGCTCTACCACTGAGCCAACTTCCCAGGCCTTAATCCCAGATTCTTAAACCTGTTTTTTGTTTCTTTTTTTAGGTATTTTTTTCTTGGTGCTGGCAATTGAACCCAGGACCTCATTAATCTAGGCAAGTACTAATCCTACTCCTGTTTTCAATTTAATTTCAAGTCCCAATATCATAAAAACCACATAACAATACCTAAAACACCTACATTTATAATTCCCTTAAGACTCCTTTAGTAGACTTTTGTATCCCAGATATATATAGTTTTCTGCCAAGTCACTGTGTGAGATTTTTCCATGATTTTGTAGAAATGGATTTGAACTCATGGCCTGGAGCTTGCCAGGAAGGTATTCTTTAAGCCACTCCCAAAACCATTTTGCTGTTATTTGGCCGATAGGGCATCACTTTTTTGCCCAGGCCAACCTGGACTGCTATCTTCCTATTTCTACTTCCCATGTTCTGTCGAGATGACAAGCATGTATTACTTTCATCTTACTGATTAATATGGGGTCTGGGTAACTTTTTGCCCAAGCTGGCCTTGAACTACGATCCTCTCAATTTCTACCTCCTAAACAGCTAGATATAGATATGAACCACCATGCTATGTCTTTGTGGGCATATTCATTCATTGGGACAATTTGCTTGTGTGGCTACTTGAAAATCATAAAAGCAATATAACTGAGTCTTGACTATTTCACTTTTGTTACTAGGAGGTGTAAACCTAATTCTAGTCTCTCAATTATAACACCCACACAAGTCTTTGGGCCTGGTCATGATTCTTATTTTTATTCCTTATTTTCAATTTTATTATGTGTTCTATTACAAAGCCATTTCAAATACACCATAAACTAACATAGGAATTAAATGAACAAAAATAGTCTTCATTTTCTTGTGTCAGTAGAATGACATCAATTTTACTACTGAGGTGACAAACCTGGGTCTTGTGATATAACTCAAGAATAGCCTTTAGACTACCAATAATGCAAAGAACCTCAATGATCTATAGAGAATCTAAATAAATAAATGAAAAATTAAAAAGCAGATAGAAAACCCTTTTGGCTAACTTACTTCAACAGTCTGTTCAAATGTCCAGTCAAATTTCTTCTTCACTTTTTTTTCAAGAAAGCTGGTTGACTCCGTTTGTTTAACTCCTGCTGCAGTAGCTTTAAACCCACAGTAATAACCTGCAGGGTCACACTTGTACACCTGAGGGCCTTGTTCTTCATCTATACCAATCAAAATCATACCTAAAAAGAAAGACTAATTAAATATCTTATACTTTGGTACAACAAATTTTCCTGTTCCTTGTAGTATCACATAGATATAATCATTATATGTTGGCCATTATGTGTTTTAAGAAAAGTAACAAAATGCCGGCGCTGGTACCTCATGCCTGTAATACTAGCTACTCAGGAGGCTGAGATCTGAGAATCACCATTCAAAGCCAGCCCTGGCAGAAAATTCCATAAGACCCTTTTCTCTAATTAACTATCATAAAACCGGAAGTGGGGAGTGGCTCAAAGTGTAGAACACTAGCCTTGAGCAAAAAAGCTCAGGGATAGCACCCAGGCCTTTAGTTCAAGCCCCACAACCAACCAAAAAAAAAAAAAAAAAAAAAAAGGAAAAAAATTGACCAAATATGTTTATCTCAATAGATACATTTGTATTTCAGAGAAAGAGGTTATATATTTCTATGACATTATTTGAATATTACAAATGTAATTTATATTTTTTTCTAATCATTGCTACCACCCAAAACTTGTTTGTTTTTTGTCAGTTGGGGAGCTTGAACTCTGGGCTGGGCACTGTCTCTGAACTCTTCAACTCAAGGAGAGCGCTGTACCACCTGAGCCACAGTGCCACTTCGGGTTTTCTGGTGGCTAATTGTAGATAAAAGAGTCTCATGGACTTTCCTGCCCAGGCTGGCTTTGAACCGTGATCCTCAGATCTCAGCTTCCTGAGTAGCTAGGATAAAGGCGTGAGCCACAGGCACCTGGCAAAACTTGTTTATTTGAACCATAATCATTTGTGGTATTACTTGGACAAATATATTAGGAAGATGTTTTAGTAATTCTTTTTTGCAAATAAAAAATAATAGCATATTAAATGGTCTGAAATATCCAGTTGTTGGAGTGTCCCATCTTCTTTCTTTTTACCAGTCCTGGGGTTGAACTCAGTGCATGGGCTCTGTCCCTGAGCCTCTCTGTGCTCAGTGCTAGCAATCTACCAGTTGAGCCATGGTGCCACTTCCAGCTTTTTCTGTTTATGTGGTACTGAGGAATCAAACTCAGTGCTTCATGTACACTAGGCAAGCACTCTATCACGAAGTCACATTCCCAGCCCCCACCTTTTTTTTTTTTTATGCCAGTACCAGGGCTTGAACTCAGGGCTTAGAGCTTTTGCTCAGATTTTCAGCTCTCTTCTGGTGCTCTATCATTTGAGCCACACCTTCACATTCCTTTTGCTAGTTAATTGGCGATAATAGTCTCTTGAATTTGTCTGCCCAAACTGGCTCTGAACTGTGATCTTCTAATCTATTCTTCCTAAGATTATAGGTGCGAGGAACCGTGGGGCTGACTAAAGTGACACATTTAACTTGAACTCAGTTGTTCTTATTAGATCAAAGGATAAACTAAACCATCTGCCTTGTTCATTGATTTATTACATATGATTTAGGACAAGCACATCACACACACAACACACACAAGTTGTGGCTCAGTGGTAAAGTGTCTCCCAAGAGAGAAGCTCTCAGTTCAAATCTCAGTACTACCAAAAAATAAAATTTAAAAACAAAAATTTAATTCCCACACAGCATTACATAGCTTAGTTGTGTGAAGAAGCTCTCATTCCCACATCATTGTCAATTATTTTAAAATCACCATGCAATCGCTGTTTCCTTGTCCTTAATTTTGCCTCCCCCCCAAAAGAAAATGAATTCCTTCAAAGCAAGATAAAAGTTACAGTAAGCCGCTCAAATCAAAAGTGGCACAAATGGGCTTAACTGAAGTGATGAAGTAACAATATGAGATCTGTTAAAGGTGGCATGTCTTTAGCAGAAGCTGGGTGGTGGTATGGGAAAACTGAATCAAGCATCCACAGTAGAGCACTGAATACTATGCATCTTGAGTATTTATGGCTTTTCAATGGTGGTCTCCTTAGAACCATAGGTCTCAAGGGTCTATTGTACTTTTTGTTATCTTCTTTCTCCTTTTTAAAATTTAAATATATATTAAGGTCCCAGGGAACTAACAACAGATGGAACACATTCTGAAAATGCTTATAACTGTCTTATCTTAGTTTCTACTGATACACTATTGTATATATGATTATTTCTTTTTTTTTGTTGGTCATGGGTCTTGAACTCTGGGCCTGGGTGCTGTTCCTCAGATCTTAGCTCAAGGCAAGTGCTCTACCAACTTGAACCACAGCACCACTTCTGGTTTTCTAGTGGTTTATTGGAGACAGGAGTTTCACGGTCTTTCCTACCCAGGCTGGCGTTGAACCGAGATCCTCAGATCTCAGCTTCCTGAGTAGCTAGGATTACAGGTGTGAGCCACCGGCGCCGGGCTAGATTATTTCTGTTTTATACTCTAGATATGAACCTTTTTATATAGTGTCTTACACCCCCCCCAAGATACAGTATTAAGCTGTTTACTCATCTAACATCTACTAATGAGGAATTTTAAAGTTTATTTTACTGACATGCTTTATTAATGTAGATACCTGTTTTGCTTGCTTTAATTCTATATTTTATATTTGAGATATGCAAAGTATCTCTAACTGCTTTACCCTAGGGCCTGGCTAGATGAGCAGGGTTTGATAGATCAAATACTTTGTACTTCCATAGTGTAAAGTCACTAAAACATGAAATAGCAGAGTGCATCAAGGAACTTCAGGTGAGGGAGGAAGAGTAAGGAGTTCACTCCCTATACTGCCTATCGCTTTAGGGAGTCTGGAATTTACCTCCAAAGCTGATTAGGAATCAGTTTATGAAGAATCAACAATTAAAATTCAGTTTTATAATAATTCATGAGACAATATAGAAAGAATTATAAAGAGTAAGAAAAGGGAAGAGATGGATAGTTTAGATAGGCAGGAAAGACAATGAAAATGAAAAAGTAACAGGAGAGCAAGGAACTGATATTTGGAGGTAAAACTTGGTAACTAATCAGATGACCAAGGAAGGTGAAGGTGGGGTGAGTCTATAAAAGAAAAGCTGAAGATGAATGTAGGAAAAGTCACGATTTTGAGTTCTGAGGTATCTGTGAGATATGGAAGAAGGGACTGGTTTATGATAATGCATGAGCAACTGGCATGCTACAGTGAGTGAAGCTCTTCAAGTAGTTAAGATTATACACACGGGCTGGGAAAGTGGCTCAGTGGTAGAACGCATGCCTTGCATGCCTGAGGCCCTGGGTTCGATTCCTCAGCACCACATAAGCAAAAAGAAAAAAGCCGGAAGTGGTGCTGTGACTCAAGTGGTAGAGTGCTAGCCTTGAGTTGAAGAGCTGAGGGACAGTGCTCAGGCCCAGAGTTCAGGCCCCATGACCGGACCCAAAAAAAAAAAAAGATTATACACGCAGCTGGGTGCTGGTGGCTCATGCCTGTAATCCTAGTTACTCAGGAAGCTGAGATCTGAGGAAGCCAGCCCAGGCAGAAAAGATTATGAGACTCTTATTTCCAATTAACCATCAGAAAAACAGAAGTGTCACTGTGGCGCCAAGTGGTAGCACACTAGCTTTGAGCAAAACAAATTCAAGGAAAGCACCCAACCCCTGAGATTCAAAGCCCAGGACTGACCAGGAAAAAAAAAAGAGGCCCGATGCTAGTGGCTCATGCCTGTAATCCTAGCTACTCAGGAAGCTGAGATTTGAGGATCGTGGTTCAAAGCCAGCCCAGGCAGGAAAGTCCATGACGTTCTTATCACTAACCAGTAAAAAGCCGGAAGTAGAGCTATGGCTCAAATGGCACAGGGCTAGTCTTGGGCAAAAAAACCTGAGAGACAGCACTTAGGCCCCAGAAACAGCACTAAAAAAAAAAAGGAAGAACTGCCAGGCATGATGGTACATACCTGTAATTTTAGCACTTGGGTACTAAGTGAAGAGGACTGAGTTCAAGACCAGGCTGTGCTACACAGTAAGACCTGTCTCACATTATTATTGTTATTGAGGGTTCCAGAGCTTGAACACAAACTCTTATTCGGCTTGCTTGCTCACTAGAGCCATGCCTATAGTTTACCACTTTTACTAGTTAGAGACAGTCTCTTGGACTTTTGAATCCCAACCCTCAGCCTACTGAGTAGCTAGGAATACAGGCTTGAGCCACTAGTATCTGACTCCAAATAGAAATATTTTGATTAAAAAAAAAGAATAGCCAGGTGTGGGTGGTTCATGCCTGTAATCCCAGGTACCTGGGAAACTTGGGAGCAGAAAGACTCAGGTTCAAAGCCAGCCTAAATAGAAAAATTCTCAAGACACTAAAAAATAGTCTGACTTGTGGAACTGAAACTGCTTTGTATAACTATTGACAATAAAAATAAGGCAGACATGGGTAGCTCACATCTATAATCTTAGCTACTCAGGAGGCTGAGATCTGAAGATCATGGTTTGGACCTAGCTTGGGCAAGAAAGCCTGTGAGACTCTTATCTTCAATAAACTACTCAGAAAAATGCCGGAAGTAGCAATGTGGCTCAAGCAGTAGAGCACAAGCCTCAAACACAAAGCAGCTCAGGGACAGCTCCAGGCCCCAAGACTGGAAATAAAATAAAAGTAAATATTTTAGCTGGGCGCCGGTAGCTCACACCTTAATCCTAACTCAGGAGGCTGAGATCTGAGGAGTGTGGTTCAAAGCCAGCCCAGGCAGGAAAGTCCATGAGACTCGAGACTCTTATCTCCAATAAACCACTAGAAAACCAGAAGTGGCGCTGTGGCTCAAGCTTAAGAGCCCCCACGACCGTCCTCACCCCCTCCACCCCCTCCCCAAAGTAAATATTTAAAAAATCAGGAAAATAAAATCTAATAGTACTTCAAGCTTAATGCCTAAAATACTAATCTGATATCTATCCCTTATCTTTGATTTATTACAATGATTTTCTTTCTCTACATTATTTCCAAACCGTATGTTCTTTAAGAATTATAACTTATCAATTATTTGTAAACTTTCTAAGCATACTTACAACAACCAAGTGGCCTCATTTCAGCATTCTGTGTGTAGACTTGAGAAATATCAGCAATCCTTTTACATAGCATGTCCACAGGAATCTCATAGCCATACTTATATTTCCAATTAGCTGCTTCGTAGCGTGCCCTCTGTACCTGGGACCTGCTGTCAGCTTATAGCAAAAGCAAAAACCAAAACCAAACAAAAACAAAATAAAAGGCTTACCTCTTTGGAAGAAGAAAATAATGAACTTTATATCTCCATCATGAACAAGTACATGCTAAGACAAGAAAAATTTTAAAACTTGGAGCTCTATATACCACACTGCCCTTTTATGCTGAGCTTTTTATCAGCAGTTAAAGTAGTTTCTATAAGTGTCAAATAACCCTACGCAAAACAAACAAATAACAAAAAAGAAAGAAAGAAAGAAAACAAGGTCTAAGGAGAAAGAGTATCTTGGTCTTTGTGTTTTAGGCTTGAATATTCATTCAAGTTCAAAAAATAAAAACCCATGTAACTGTAATCCTTCTGTACATCAGCTGTATGATAAAAAAAAAAAAAAGATACAATAACTTAAGTTCCCCTTAAATTACTAACCATATCCAGTATCTATAAGGGAGGCCTCAGTCTAGTTTTCCTAACAAGAGCATAAAGATGTGATTCCATTATACTCATGTTTTCAAAATAGTTCACAGATAGGCATGGTAGGAACATCTGTAATCCCAGCACTTAGACACATACCACCTGAAAATCAGCACTAAAGGGAGCTTAAAATTAACATGAAATTTAAAATAATTTGAAGGAAGGCTTATATATCCAAGTAGACATGTAGCTGATTACCTGTCATTCCAGTCATTACACAACCAATGTTTTCAGTTATCTTGAACAAATGAGTCACTGTGCTTGAATCCAATAATTTGTCCTAATGAACAAAATAAATCAAGGTAATTTTTTATTTAAAAAAAGGCTACAGTTCTCTACAGTCTGAAAGAAACAATACTATAGAACTGTAAGAACAAATTACATAATGGAACTTACTAGACAAATAGTACCACCATTCATTTTAGCTAAAAGTTAATTTAAAAAATTTAAAAAGATGGCAGAAGGCTGTTTTCCTTTTGTAGATGTTATCTGTGGGCTTACCAAACTTGTGTCAAAGTCCCAGAAGAGAAAAGCCTTAGAAATCCCACTATGCTTTGTTATAATCATTCCACAAAGTTTAATATGCCACTTCGGTCTACTCAGCTAAACTGTACATAAATGCTTAATATTAACATATGCAAGAAACAATATACCTCTATGCAATTTCATGAAAAACACTTGCAATATATAATGTAATAAGTATTTGGGCAGTATTACTTACTGGTACTTTCTTCTGTGTGACAATTACTGCACAGTCTTTCCCTCTGACAGCTACTGATGTAAGGCCACCCTGGTTAATAGCCTTAAAAGCATATTCTAGAAAACAGAAGTTTGTTTTTTCAAAATAGGTTTTTTAAAAGGTGAAATAATTCATTGAGATTCACGCAAACAAAGTCACTAAATTAAGGTCAAGTGTGGAGACATAACAATGAAAGTTCCCCTAATAACTAACATATGCTAATTAAAAAACAAACAAACAAAAACAGAATAAGGTATCAGTGGTTCATGCCTGTAATCCTAGCTACTCAGGAAGCTGAAATCTAAGGATTATTGTTCAAAGCCAGCCTGGGCAGAAAAGTCCCCATGAGACATCTCCAGTTAACTACCAGAAAATTGGAAGTAGAGCTGTGACTCAAAGAGGTAGACTATTAGCCTTGAGCAAAAAAGCTTAGGGACAGTGTCCAGGTCCTGAGTTCAAGCCCCATGACCGACAAAAAAAAAAAATAATTAAAAAAAAGCTCAAACTATATAAACTAATATGGAATGCTTCTCAAGATATAGTCAGAGTAATACACATGATAATAAACCACAGTTAAACCAACTCCATTTTCTTTCCACTTTCATTTTAGCTGCTCTTACATAGCTCTACACTTAACATTCTGTTAACCTTTGGTCAGAAACTAATTTGACCACATGTGGGTTTAACTACTGCTACGTTATTTTCATTGATTTTTCTTTTTTCTTTTTGCCAGTCCTGGGCACTGTCTCTGAGCTTCTTTTTGCTCAAGGCTAGCATTCTATCACTTGAGCCACAGCGCCACTTCTGGCTTTTTCTGTGTATGTGGCACTGAAGAATCGAACCCAGGAGTTCATGCATGCTAGGCAAGGACTCTACCACTAAACCACATTCCCAGCCCTTCACTTATATTTTTATATACCAAGTTGAGTTTTCTGAATCATGCCCTTTTCCAAGCTTCATGCTACATTCAACAAACATTTCATTAGTTTTCTATAACAAACTTCAGTTTGTGCATTTCTAGCTGCTGTAATCCATCTCATCAGCTAAAACACTGGAGTCAAAATAATAGCACAAAAACATGTTAAGGCTAAGGATGCAGCTCACTGGTAAAGCACTTGCTTTAATTCCTAGCACTGCAAAAACAAAATAAACACACCCCCTCCTCCCTGAGGAAAAAAAACATAAACAAACAATTCTGTGCCAGTAAGCAGGGCTTGAACTCAGGGCTTGGATGTTGTTTTTTCACTCAAGGCTTGAACTCTCACATTTAAGCCACAGCTCTACTTGCAGCTTTTTGCTGGTTAACTGGAGAAAGTCTCATAAACTTTCCTGCCCAAGCTGGCCTCAAACTGTGATCTTCATATCTTACCCTAGAGTAGCTAGCACTTACAGGTATGAGCCACTGGTGCCTGGGTAACACAGATTTTTTTTTTGGTCAGTTGTGGGACCTGAACTCTGGGCCTGGGCACTTTCCCTCAGCAATTCAGCTCAAGGCGAGTGCTCAACCACTTGAGTGAGCCACAGCACCACTTCCAGCATTTTCTGCATATGCGGTGCTGAGGAATTGGATGCAGGGCCTCATGCATGCAAGGCAAGCACTCTACCACTGAGCCACCTTATCAGCCCGGGTAATACAGATTTTATAATTAGAAAAAAGCAATAAAAATAATGTTAGCAAAACCCAATGGCTCACACCTGAATTCTAGCTACTCAGGAGGCTGAGGTGTGAGGATTGCAGTTCAAAACCAGCCCATGCAGGAATGTCTGTGACAATCTTAGCTCCAATTAAGTGCACACACACACGTACACACGTAACACGTACACACACACACACACACACACACACACACACACACCCTAGAAGTAGAGCTGTGGCTCAAGTGATAAAGTACTAACCTTGAGCAGAAAAGCTACGGGACAATGCCCAGGCCCTTGAGTTCAAGCCTTAGGACTAGAAAAAAAAATGGTGCAGAAATGTAGAAAATATAGATTACTTCAAAGTCCAGTAATTATTACAGTTGACATGTAATAGAATATTTCAAAATTTTGTCTTCAGCTGGGTGTTAAGTGGCTCACACTGATATGCTAGCCATTTAAGAGTCTGGGATCTGGAGGACAGTGATTTAAGGCTATCCCATCTTGATAATAACTGTCTCCAAAATAACTAGCAAAAAGCAGGGCTGGAGACCTGGCCCTAAATTCAAACTCCAGTACTACCAAAAAAAAAAATGTCTTCAAGTTATTTCTCTGGACACTGGCTCTGAGGCCTACCTAGCCTCATCTACGCAGAATGTCACAAGTGATTAGGAATAGTTAAGGAAGATAGTGCTTATAAAATAAATAATAAATTTCCTTTAATAGGAGCTTTTTCTTTTTTTTTTTTTGCCAGTCCTTGGCTTGAACTCTGGGCCTAGGCGCTGTCCCTCAGCTCTTCAGCTCAAGGCGAGTGCTCTACCACTTGAGCTACAGCGCCACTTCCAGTCTTTTCTGCTTATGTGGTGCTGAGGAATCAAACCCAGGGCCTCATGCATACAAGGCAAGCACTCTACCACTGAGCCAACTTCCCAGTCCAATTTTTTTTTTTTTAAATGTGTGTGCATGCTGGTTCTGGGACTAGAACTCACAGCCTAAGTGTTATCCTTGAGCTTTTTTTGCTCAAGGGTAACACTCTACCTTTGAAGCACAGCTCTACTTCCAGGTTTGTTTTTTTTGGGGGGGTTGGTAGTTAATTGAAGGTAAGTGTGTCATAGACTTTCCTGCCTGGGCTGGCTTTGAACCACGATCCTAGTACTGCTGGGAACTGGTAGCTCATGCCTGAAATCCTAGCTACTTGGAAGCTGAGATCCGATGATTACGGTTCGAAGTCAGCCCAGGTAGGTAAGTCCGTGAGACTCTTATCTCCAATTAATCACCAAAAAACTGGAAGTAGAGCTGTGACTCACGTGGTACAACCCTAGCCTAGAGCAGCAGCATTCAGAACCAGAGGTCAAACTCTCGACGCACACAAAACCAATCAGTACTGTCAAATAGGTCCTTTCTGGGGTAGGGGTTCTCATGGGAGGGAAGGTGACAGCAAGTGAATATTCATTAAAATACTTCACGTACATTCATGAAAATGGAACCAATGAGGCTTGTTGATATTGTTCTGGAAAGTGGGAATGAGAGAGTGATAGGGCTTGTTCAAGGTAAACTATGTATATTCAGATATGTCAAAATGAAACCCCCTTGCACAACTGATGCTAATAAAAAAATATAAAAAGATCTAAAAAAAAAAAGAGGAGATGCTCTACAATTTTCAGCACACGGTTGGTTTTTAAGTCTTTCTCCTACATCTTGGTAATACTGTCAATGTTGTCATTTATAATTACACATTTTGTTTATAATTATGGTTAGCATTAATTTTTAAATTTATACTTTTACTGATTAACTTTAGGTTTTGTATATTTATTTTAGTGCTTGGACTCTAACACAGGTGGGCTTTAAGCATGCTAGGCAAGACTTTTTACCACTGAGCTATGCCCCAGTTCTCTACATTTGAGTCCCAACTATGGAAAACAAGGAGTAATATTCTTACCCCCCCCCCCCTTTTTTTGGTGCTGGTACTAGAACTTGAACTCAGGGCCTGGACACTATCCTTCAGTTTTTGTCTCTCAAGGCTGGTGCTTTACCACTTGAGCCACAGCTCCATAACCAGCTTTTGGATGGTTAATTGGAAATGAGTCTGATGGATTTTCTTGCCAGGGCTTGATTTGAACCTCAATCAGAACTTAGCTCCAGAGTAGCTAGAATTACAGGCACAAGACACTGGTACCTGGTACTATTTTCCCATTAATCTTTACTTCCTTCACCACTGTCCCTTGTTTTTTTTAACAAGAATTTTTTTCTTTTTGGTGGTTATGTGGTTTGTACTCAGGGCCTTGTGCCTGCTAGGCAGTGCTCTACCACTGGAGCTTTGCCTTACGCTACTTTTGTTATATTATTCTTCATCTGTCAAAGTTAACACCCTGTGCCTTACAAACTGTTCAGATAATTCCAAAGTTTACAAACTAGTAAACATTATTTGTAATATTATGAGGATGTTATACTTCAATGAGAACAATGGATAGACACTCCCCCCCAAAATAAAAATATTCCACATCTGCAAAGCTACTAATTTAATAGACTAAACAAAGAACCAAACAGGAATCTGATAATATTCTCTGAGCACTAAGTATGTGACAGGCACACACTAAAAACTGCACATATAATGCATCATTTAATCTCCAAAGCCATCATGTAAGAAGGAATTATTATTAGCCCAATTGTACAAACAGAAACTAAGGCAAAGCTTATATACTGGGCCAGGCCAGCTAGCATGCAGCAGAGTAGGGATCTGAATCCAGGTCTGGCTCCAGGGTTAAAACTATACTGCTTACTCATACTAACTGCACTTTCATTTTCTTAATGTTCAAAAAAGAGTGTTACTTCAAGGAATAGAATAAAATCATTGTTTAGCTATTAAACTGGTTTTGATGTATTTTCTTGCCAACCTGACTAAAATGACACTATATTCAGTCTTATTTCTCACCAAATAAGCAGCATTAAAGACTGTGCCTTCTAGCTACTTCTCAAGAAAAAATATAGAGGCAAGAGAGAAGTCTAAGTGTGGCCCTTTCTGTTCACAAATTACAAGCCACAACACAGCTACTCAAAGCAGTTGTCCAAAATGTGAAATTATTTAAAACTCATGAATAAAACACTAAAACCTAAAAGTCCTTGAGAAGGCAATGATTGTCTACCATCTATGATTACAATTTTCAATGGAGGTGAGTTGAAAGTACTGAATTACGGTCTTCCCTTGTCACAGTATACACTTCATGTAGTGACCCCAGTTACCTTTAACGCTATTAAAATTTATAAGTGGACAGAATCTCACACATAGGTCAATTCTCTGATTTTTTAAGAACTGTTCTTGAATTTGGAGCCACTGATTCTTTTTTTTTTTGGTCAGGTCGTGGGGCCTGAACTCTGGGCCTGGGCACTGTCCCTCAGCTCTTCAGCTCAAGGCTAGCACTCTACCACTTGAGCCATAGCGCCACTTCCGGCTTTTTTCTTTTTGCTTATGTGGTGCTGAGGAATCGAACCCAGGGCCTCAGGCATGCAAGGCAAGCGCTCTACCACTGAGCCACCTTCCCAGCCCCTGGAGCCACTGATTTTATCAGTCTTCCAAAGATGTCCTGAACTCTGTATATACTTGTAGCTGGTTTCTCGTTTATCTTTTTTTTTTTATTATTATTCTACTGGTTCCACATTCATGGTTTCCTTTAAGCTGTGCGCCTCCGGAGGGGAGGGGTGACATGTTACCTTTTGCACTGGACCCAGCAGTGTCTGGCACACCGCTATCGGGATGCTGCTACCAATCTGCCAACAGGGCAAGTTAACTCCACATTACCCACAAAGGAAATCAGGAAGGCGGCATTTTTACTGGGAGAGTTTCGAGGAGACGACTCGGGGGCTGCACAGCATTCTGAAGCCGGCCGCAGGAAGCAGGAGGCAGGCATTATGGTCCTGCCTTCGTCAACTCTTCATTGTGTCCTGGCGGGGCGGCGCTCGCCCCGAAGCCTGCCAGGTTCTCGTCTCCGCCTTCAAGCCCCCGACGCCCGCTTCCCACGGGGGGTGAGGGCACCCCCGGGCCTGCACCCGCGCCTCGGCCCTCCTCGCTGCTCACTCCCGCCCGGCTTCAGCCTGGGCTCGGACTCGCGCCACCTTTGCCTGCTCCAGGCCGAAGCATGACAGAGCACTTCGGCAGGACCGCCGGCAGACCTGGTTCACTCACCTACTTGGTAGAGCCGGCCCTCGGGCGAAAAAATGGTAATGTGGCGGTCAAAACCGGCGCTGGAACCACGGGACATATTGGTCCGCCGCTACTTGAAACTGTCTTACCGCCCGAAGCTCCCGCACCAGGCTTACAAACCTCTCCCGGAAGTTGCTGCGGAGAGTGCTTCCGGGGCACCCGCTGGGCTGCTTCCGTTCTCGTTCGCCGAAGTTAACAGACCTCGCGGTGGTGTTCCAGAGAAGGGAGTCGTAAGGTTCCGCCCCCTGTAGGGGGCGGGGCACTGAAGGCCGAGGCTCTTGGCAGCACGCATGCGTCCGGCGTGCTTCTGCTGTGGTGTTTTGCATGCAGGAGGTGAAATTTGCGTCCAGGCGTTTTAGGTCTTTCTTGTGGAGGATAACTTGATTAAAGCAAGGACGGACAAAGCTCTTCGGGGACTCGGTAATGACTTGCCTGTGTGGGTGACCTAAGAGGACGGTGTAATCAGCACGTCCGTCGTTCGTCGTGGCGCCTCGGGTCAGTTCATCCTGTCCCACCTGCGTGCTGCTGGCTGCTTTGACCCATCCTTCCTTCCGACCGGCGGAGGCCTCGGCCGGTGCAGCCGCTGCGCACTCACGGCGCTGGGAGAGCTTAAAGGACCCGCCGATTTTCAACAACAAAAATTGCTTTATGTCTGGCAGTAGCTTCCTCTGTACAGCAACGTGGTGTTTTTTGTTTTTCTTTTTCTTTTTGTCCTAAACTTGAAATTGAGGCTGAAATATTGGTAATAGGGAAATCTTGAGGTTAAGCAGCTTTGATTCATCATAACCCGTGAGATCCGATGGGATAAGAGCTTATAGCAGGTTAGTGTTGGATGAATTTAATGAGAATAATTTCTAATAGGCAAGGTAGCTCTAGGAAAACAAGTGGGTTTTCAAATACAGTCGTGTCTGTTTTTGCTTTTCCCCAAGGTATATTCCTATTCAACGAAAAACATGGTTGTTAGCCTCCCTGTATACACGCATGTAAAAATGGTTTGTGCACCACACCAAGATTTGTACTTCAATGTTTCTTTAATAACTGAAATGGGAGTTTAGCTGAGCAAAAAAGATCAAGGACAGCATTCAGGTCCTGATTTCAAGCCCCAAGACTGTCATCCTCTTTCTCCAAGAAAAAAGATGATGAAATTTACCAGGTAACATAACAATGGAATCACTTATTCTAAGATGAATTTTGAGTGAATCTTAACTATTTAAACTATAAATACTTGTCATATTAAAACACTCATTGTTATCAGATATGCCTGCACTCATGTCTGGGTCATGTACTTTCTTTCACTTGCTTTACTAATAAATTTTCTTGCTCTCTCTAAAAAAAAAACAAAACCCTGAAATGGTAGTGTTTTTTTTTTCTAAACTCATTTTGTGTTTTGCAGCAAAAAATAGTGTAAGATGCCAGGGCTGGGAAGGCAACTCAGTGGTAGAGTGCTTGTCTTGCATGCATGAGACCCTGCGTTCAATTCCTCAGCACCACATATGCAGAAAAAGCCGGAAGTGGCACTGTGGCTCATGTGGTAGAGTGCTAGCTTTGAGCTGAGGGACAGCACCCAGGCGGAGTTCAGGCTTCATGACTGGCAAAAAACAAATTAAAAAATATATATATTTGGGCTGGGAAGTTGGCTCAGTGGTAGAGCGCTTGCCTTGCATGCATGAGGCCCTGGGTTCGATTCCTCAGCACCATATAAGCAAAAAGAAAAAAGCTGGAAGTGGTGCTGTGGCTCAAGTGGTGGAGCGCTAGCCTTGAGCTGAAGAGCTGAGGGACAGCGCCCAGGCCCAGAGTTCAGGCCCCACGACCGGACCAAAAAAAAAAAAAATATATATATATATATATATATTTTAAGATTCCATAGAAGGAACCCCCAATTCCCAATTTCTCAAGTTAAAAAAAATAACTTTCTTGTTAAAAATGCTTTTTTTGGGGGGAGGGGTCAGTCATGGGACTTGAACTCTGTCCCAGAGCACTGCCCCAGAGCTCTTCAGGTCAAGGCTAGCACTCTACCACTTGAGCTACAGTGCCACTTCCAGCTTTTTCTGTTTATGTGGTGCTAAGGAATCGAACCCAGGGCCTCATGCATGCAAGGCAAGCACTCTACCACTGAGCCACCTTCCCAGCCCTCAAGTTCCATTTTATTAACCTCCAAACAAAGATACAAAACTAAAACAGCTAAGAAAATGCCAAGAACATCTCTGCAACACAGGGTACTTTCCAGCTTCAATTCCCAAGTGTACTGATAAGAGCTGTCTCTTCTGGTTCAGGTTTCTACTACCAGGATCAACTCTGGACCTTTTAAGTACTTCTGTCTGGTTGATGGAGGTTGGTACACTGTAATCTGTACCTGTAATCTGTACACTGTAATCTGTTTGCCTGAATAGTCATGAATAAAAGGTTCTCTGGACTTCAGGAGAATAAACTTACTTAGTCCCTTTGCTTCAACAACCTGCTGTATTCCGATAGCTCCCAAATTTAGGTCTCCTGCGGGTCACTTCTTTGGAAGTAAATCTTGATCCATTCACAACTCTTGATATCATTTCTATTTAGAGCAACATCTCATTGGCTTGCTTTTCTGTCTGGATTTCCTTTGATCTCTCCACAATATTCTGAACAAATTCTGGTATTTAGGTTGATATTGGAAGCTGTTGACAAATTGACTTGTTTCTTCAACTTCCTCTCCCCAACTCATTGACCTATTCTTGGCTGTACTCCACAAGCACTCCTCTGAGCAACACTGGTCACGCCCCAAGTTCCCCTGTACTCCTCTCTCATGTAAGGGCCACTAATTCCCATTTTACAAGATGTGCAAATCTGCCTGTCTATATCTATATGATATGTTCAGCACATATAATTCGATTTTTTTTTTTTAAGCCTGGGCCAGAGTATGGTGCTTTTTTTCTCCTGCCCCCATAGAACTGGGGATTGAACCTAGGACCTTGGTAAGCACTCTACCACAGAACTACACCACTTTTGTAGGTAAAATATTGGCAGTTATATGATGATTTTTGTTGTTGTTGTTGTTCAGTCGTGGGGCTTGAACTCTGGGCCTGGGCACTGTCCCTCAGCTCTTCAGCTCAAGGCAAGCACTCTACCACCTGAGCCTCAGAGCCACTTCTGGTTTTCTGATGGTTAATTGGAGATAAGAGTCTCATGGAGTTTCCTGTCTGGGCTGGCTTTGAACCATGATCCTCAGATCATGAGCCACAGGCACCCGGCAGTTATATAATTTTTTGTGTGTGCCAGTCCTGAGGCTTGAACTCAGGGACTGGGCACTATCCTTGAACTTTTGTGCTCAAGGCTAGTGCTCTACCACTTTGAGCCATAGTGCCATCTCATGTTATATTAATTGACTTAAAAATTGAGTTGTGCCAGGCACTGGAGGCTCATCCCTATAAATCCTAGCTACTCAGGAGGCTGAGATCTGAGGATCATGGTTCAAAAGTCAGCCTGGTCAGGAAAGTCTGTGAGAATTATCTCCAAAAAATTAACCACCAGAAAAAGAAGTGGTGCTGTGGCTCAAAGTGGTAGAGCACTATCCTTGAGCAAAACAGCTTAAGGATAGTGCCAGGCCCTGAGTTCAGGCCTCATGACAAAAAAAAAAAAAAAAGAAGAAAAAATTGAGTATGTCTGGACTTCATCAAAGAACAGTGGGGCAGAGGCCTGGTGTTTGCCATCGCTGTATCACTACCCTTCATAGGTGACTTGGTTCATCATAGTTCAATAAATGAACTATTGAATTGAACTGAAAAGCTTAGAAAGAAAGGGAAAAAGGGAGAAATATTTTCATAACTATAATCCTTTGCTTCCCAAGTAGACAAGACTCTGGACCATAAGTTGTTTCCTTTCCCCTAGCCTGTAGGGCTGTGAGGATATTTCTCAAAATCATCTCCTGAGGAGGCTATATTTAAAACTGTCTGTGAAAGAACTATAGGATTTTGAATGATATGTACCTTTTAATACTCAAGTAATCCTCACTGGCAAACTGGGTTGATGGCAGAGCTGCTCTAGCAAAGTCCTTAACAAAGGCAGCTCTGTTTCTGGGAGTTGGAAGTTAGAGGCAGAACTTTCCTACCACATGGAGTTTGCTATGCCAGGTGCAAACTTGGGCAGGCTATATATAATATCGGGGTGGTTGTAATGCTGAAAAGAGATGGCTATAATGCTTTGGGGAGCTTTATTACCCAAGCTAGATTGATTGCAGGTATTTCCTCTTGCTCTCCAGGTGTGTTTAAGAATTAAGCTCTTGCAGCCTTTGAAAAAAGACCATTGTAGGGCTGGGAATGTGGCTCAGTGGTAGAGCGCTCGCCTTGCATGCTTAAGGCCCTGGGTTCGATTCCTCAGCACCACATAAGCAGAAAAAAAAAAAAAGCCGGAAGTGGCGCTGTGGCTCAAGTGGTAGAGCGCTAGCCTTGAGCTGAAGAGCTGAGGGACAGCGCCCAGGCCCAGAGTTCAGGCCCCATGACCGGACAAAAAAAAAAAAAAAAAGACCATTGTAGTAAAAGACAAATTGACATGATTAATTAAACAGGACTCTTAAGCATTCACTCACTGAGAACAATGGATGATGTTCTTAGGCAAGAATCACAAGGTCCCAATAGCTATGTACGTATCATCATATAAAATGATGCTATTGAAAGAAACTCCAAGAAATGGAAACAAGAGTTTTTTTGGGTCCCGTTATGGGGCCTGAACTCTGGGCCTGGGCGCTGTCCCTCAGCTCTTCAGCTCAAGGCTAGCACTCTACCACTTGAGCCACAGCGCCACTTCCGGTTTTTTGCTTATGTGGTGCTGAGGAATTGAACTCAGGGCCTCATGCATGCAAGGCAAGCGCTCTACCACTGAGCCACCTTCCCAGTCCCACACAAGAGTTTTTTATTGTACTGTTTTCAGTTATTTATTTTTTCTTTGTTTATTTCCTGTTGTTGCTGTTTTTGATTTCTGTACCCCTTGTCTGCATATGAGATTATCTGATGGGGGAGGGGAAGGGAAACACAGAAATGGTAGGACAAAGGGTAAACCAATTCAGCAGTGATACTCACTAGACACTGTCGGAAATGAACTATGCAGCTTGAGGGTTGGAAAGAGGAAAACTGGGATAAAACGAAGGAGGGAGTGACACTGTTCAAAAAGAAATGTACTCATTACCTGACTTATGTA